AATATCTGTTGTCACTGAAACAGTTTGACTTAGAGAAAGTATCAATGACTCTAAAAATTATGACATGTTGAATCATTACACCCCTAAACTTTAGTGCATACTATTAAGAGTTCATGTGAATGAACAACACAAAGTGCATAAATCTGAAGTGGAAGAAAAATTATAAATCTTTTTTTTTTAACAGTAGCTTCTTACATTTTAACAGAAAAAGAATGACATGCAGTTGTTTTCAGGGCATTTAAGACCTGAGGTTTTAATTAACCAATACGTGCATGAGATCAAATGAAGCGAGTTCACGACGCTACGGAAGCCGGCAGACCAAACCAGCGCATTCAGCTCGGCAAAGAACTCATGCTCTTCCTCAACACTGAAGTCCTCAGACATTTTTCTTTCGTTGTTTCTTTCTTTGCACAGGTAAACAGCACGTTTCTTCTTCTACACTTGCATTATCGGAAGAGCAGACGCTGAATGCGCACTTTCATCTGGTTTGGTCTGCCGCGGTTTCTGTAGCGTCGTGAACGCGCAGGCGCGCGCTTTCAGGAAATCCTATACACTACTGTTTATGCTCTAAAAACATTCTAAATGACTTCGTTTCGAGTAAATTATGGACGCTACCCACTCAGTACACTTGGAATACATTGGACGAGCAGTATGGAGGAATATTGACACGTTTTTGTGGACTTTTATGGACCTTTCTGCCTCGGGCACTATAGACCTCCATTATTTGAATGTCAGCAGACAGCAAGAGGCCTCCCAGATCTCCAGATGCATTTGAGATATCAAAAAAGTACTCCAGAGTGTTGTTCAGCATGGGGGTGAGTAGAAAATGAAGGCTAATCATGTTTTGGGTGTACTATTCCTTTAAGTGGTTAGTAATAAATGTGGCTTGGTAGACAAAATGTGAAAAAGCCCTTAGTCCTGTTTACTGTCCAACCTCTAAATAAAAACCAAATATCAGAACGGTTAAGAGCTTTGGATGGAAAAGATGGTTAAAGAAGGTTACTCAGGTTAGATTAGATCAAATAGCTGTGACAGAAAACTGACTCAGTATGTCACCCTGAACATATTACACCCACGGAGAGACACGATGGTTGTAGCATCATGATATGGGGATCATCCAAAGGAACGAAGAAGCTGTTCAGAGTTGATCGGTAGCAGGATAACAGCCGTAAGCATATAACCACAACTATGATAAAACAGTTTTTTTGTGTCTGAATGGGCTAAATCATACTGAAGGTGAATGCCAAGATTAGAGTAATTATCAATCAATGCTCTGCATACAGTCCTATTCAACCAGCTATTTTTTTGTGAAAAGTAGGTTAAAGTTAGTTTTTGTAGAAGTGCACTGTTTGTAGAGACCAAACCCAAATAGACAGAGCTTTAATTGCAAAAAAAGGTTGTGTGAAAAAAACAAACAAAAAAAAATGCAGAATTTGAGATTTACATTCATATAAGGGCTTAAAAACATTTAATGCATCATTTAGCTTCCCTTTACTTCACATCTAACCCTTTTTTTATTTTATATGTTGAAGTTTATTATTATACCAAGAAATAAAAAACATCCAGGGTTTGACAGATCATTAAAAAGTCTATTTTATAAAGTCTGAAGAGTAAAGCAGCCTGACTGACATCTATCAGAAAACAGCAGCAGCTGCAGCTCAGTGATTGAACTTTGGCCTCTTTCTAGTCCCATTTAAAACTGTGCAATGTCAATGTACAAAGTTCAAACGGTCAATAGGAGTAAAGCTGTGACAATGTCATAATCTAGCGTAGTATACGTTGCTATCTTTTCAACAAAACTCTAACTAATACGTGGAGCAAAGCTAAAGGCTAACATTATAGAGATAGAGGATAAATCCAACTGCAAGAAAGCTAAACCTGCGGCTAATTTAGCCACTTCAGCAGCAGTTGTCCAAACAGCTAACTGTGCTTCAAATAAAGTTAGCGGAGTCAAACACTGGGGATAGCATTCAAGAGTGAATGTATTTTTTTTCCAACTATGAATGAAGCTCTAAGCCAGTTGGCTAACTGTCAGGGAGCTTTCCCAGATTACTTTCGCCGCTGATGTGTCTGACTTTGAGGGCTCAGTGGGAGCTAACCCAGCTGTCAGCGCAGGGCTGCTCACTAAGCTCGGCAAAAATAAACAAAGTCACGTACTGTTTTGCTTAAACTAGACTATCAAACATCGCAAGTTGAAAAAAACTTGCACTCAAATAAAATACTTACAAAGCAGCCTGGCAAACAACCTGCTATGAGACATCTTCGGTCATTCAGCAATGACACCAAAGGCTAAGGACTGGCATGGAACATTTAGCTGACTTCAAATGGTCCAGTGAAACCAAGGGTACGCATGAGTCTGAAAATAGCATAGACTTTGTCATAATAAACACAAAATTAAAGTAATAAATAGGAAACGTGTTACATTATTTTTAAACGTGTGTAAAATATATATAATATTAAATATATGCGTTTTGTATATATATGTTTGCGTTTTGTAAATATATGTTTTTCCTACAGGCAAAACTGTTGGACTCTTTCACTCGCAGTGCACTCTGGATATTGAAGTCCTAGACAGATTAGATTTAAAAAAGCGTGCTCTGGACATCGCTAGAGGGCGTATCAGTCTTATTCATCCATCCATCCATTTTCATTTTAGTAAAACTCGCTGAATAACTATGAAACAGACACGTATAAACTTGATAAGACATGTTATCTGAGTTTTAATCTACAATACAAGAGAGGAGAGAGAATACAAATTTGAGTTATATTCATAAAGCCAGAACAACGTTAGTACTAACACACTTTTAATAAATGTAACCAGCAAAAACACTTGAATTTACTTTACAGTATTCATTTTCCACGTTTAGGGAGCTTAGTCTTTTATGCATTTTTTCTTCAGTTAATCTGAATTATTTTACCCTTTTGTTATTTCACAGCCAACCCCTCTGCCACTACTGAATGATTTTCTCAAAATTGTAAATGTTCAAAGCCCTAAGATTTGTTTCTTTTGTACTTTCTACATGCACTTATTCTGAAATTGTTTTGACAATTCTTATAACAGTTCTCAGTTCTTATTCAGTTTTCACAAATGCTATCAGTAGTTTTTAGGCTCTGTATAGCAGTTGTTTTCTAGCGGTTTTACACACCTTACTCTATTAACCATGTGTTAATAACATTTGAAACAGCTTATTTCACATTCTTCGATTAATAACTTATAATGTTGCATTTTGTTGGCATTTCTACATAGCATTTAAGATATATCTTCGCACATCCCTGGTGTATAATATAGACAGAAAGGGGCTATACGTAAGTAAGCCTGGGCATTGATGGGAGATGAACCTAACTACATGTCAGCACAGTATAAAAAAAGAACAAAGTGACACAAGAATAGACCAAAATGTTGTTAAAGATTAAAAATGAACACTCACTTAAATGCTGCATTAGGAAGTATGCATGCAACAATTGATAACATTTTCCTTTATGCATTCTTGTGTAAACTTTTGCAAGAAGTGCAATAATACTCACCTATATGTTGAAACAGCAACTTAAAATAAGTTCAGATTTGGAGATGTAAATGTAGTTCTTACTAGAAATATAATTAGTGACATCTAAAATACAATTCTGATTAGGAGTGTTGTAATTGTGACAAGGTAGAATGCTTTAGTGCTATCTATAATAGAAATGTGACTAGTCAGCCTGTACATTTTATGTTAAAATGGAGCGCCATTTCTTTTTTGAAGGTAAGTCAAAATATGTTTTTAAGTATCTAAAACTGCATTTTGGATGGGCATTATTAAAATTTAGATATCTGAAATTCCAGTTTAACTAGTCATATATCAATAGTTGATATCTGTAATTATATTTATACTTTCAAGAACTGGATTTCTGGATATATAGATTTTCAATGACTTTTGGTATCTGAATAGTAATTATAACTAACAGTAACTCTATTATTGGGATCTGAAATTAGAGTTCATCCTCATCAGAATTCAGTTTTAGATGTTATTTTAAATATCTGAAATGTTAATTTTGACTACGAAGAAATGCATTTCAGACATTTTAACTATATATTAGGTCAAGCCAATAAATGTCAAAATGGCCACTTAAAAATTGTAAAGATTTGTAGGTATTTAAAAGTTTATTCTTATTAGGACAACAAATTTTTGGCAGCCTGAAATAAAATTTTTTGCTGGCAAAAATGTAATTTAGGATATCTATATGTACAATTCTGGCTAGCAGGAATGTAGTTTTGACTAGGAAGAATCTTATTGTAGAGATCAACAAATGGAACAATAGAGAGGACAGCGCTTCTAAGAAATGTCAAAACGGACTGCCTGTTTTATGTTAAAATGGAGCCTCGTTATTCTTTTGAAAGTATCTAAAAGTAAATTTTAGATAGGCATTACTAAAATGGAGATATCTGGAATTGTGATTTTACAAGACATGATATTTGTAATAAAATATCTATTAGTATAAATATATATTAGATGTCAAGAATTGGAGTTCTGGATATCTAGAATATTATATTGATTTTTGATATCTGAAATAGTATTTCTGACTAGCAGTAACTCTATTATTGAGACCTGAATTAGAGTTCATACTCCTCGGGATTCATTTTTAGGTAGGAAGAAAGTTTATTTTAGATAAGTAGAATGTTATTTTGGATATCTGGAACTAAAAGCACATGAATGGGAAACGTGACGTCCTTTGTACTAGTAAGAAATACATTTAAGATAACTTAAATGTATATTTTGACAAGGTAGAAATGCATTTCAGACATGTGGAGTACATTTTCAGTCTAGCTAGTGAATGTCAAATTGGCCTCCCTCCTTTTCTTCCTCATTTTAACTTGTCCAATCAGAAGGCACCAACTCCTCTGACAGCGATTGGTCACTAAGGTCACGTGTCACTGCTACGGAAATTCCTAAAGCCTTTTTACGTTCCGGTTAATCAGTTTCGCTGGTGTGGCGACATAAGGTTACGTACTGGCGTTGAGCTGCGCTCAGTAAACAGCGCAGTGGCTCAAACCAACCCCAGGAACTACCCAAGTCAAACACATAACCTGGCCCAGCAGAGAAAGTCAAGATGGTTTTAGAAACGATTGCAAAAATAATAAAAGTGCAGCTTCCGGCCTATCTTAAGAAGTTGCCGCTGCCAGAGACAATCGGAGGATTTGCGCGATTAACAGGTAATTAACGACAGTTGGGGACAACTGATCGGGGACACTTTAATGACTTAGCATACATGTGTAGCCTGCATGAGCATCACAACTCTACCCGGTGATTTTAGAGCTTAAATAGCACATAGCGAAATACAGGAAGAGAAATACACCATGTAATAGAGCTAAGGAATTATATAGCTCTTTCTCAGGGTTCATAAGAATATATGAAAAAACAACAGCGACAAATTGTATGTAATGTAGAGATTTAGCTGCATGGTGTGGGGTATTTCGGTTTAATTTTAGTTTAGGGCAGCAGTACTTTTCGGGGGGTTCGGTTGATAAGCAGGAACAACGTAGTGCAGATGAAGAAGGCTTGAAATTTGGCTGCTGTTATGAAAAAATGGAAAGAATAAGTGGAAATGTGGTTTGCAGGGGAACTGTTAATGGGAATCTGATATTTTTTAGACTGGGTGGGGGTGTCTGGATGTTCTGCAACTCTCCAACAGATCTGCTTGTTCTTACTTTTACCAATTTATTTTACAAGATTCATTAAAGATTTTCTGAAATGAGTACCATAACAGATGTATAAGCAAAAAATTGAAAAAAGACAAAAAAACAAACAAACTGTAACAATAATTTATTAATTTTCCTGGATTCTTAGTCATGCATCTGTTTCTGCAGGCAGCAATACTTTAATAGACGACACAGGAATGTCTTGGGTAATTGAAAATTATTTAAAACCGTTTCCATTTTCAGATAATGCATTAAACTGAGCTCTGTAAAAGATGTAATGCTTTAGATTTCCTTTTCCAATCAAACTCTGTGTGGAACTTCCCAAAAGCTTCATACAGGCAGGAGCCACTTGGTGATTTACCCAATCAGCTCCAGGGATTGCACTGAATGTCCCTCCCTTTTGTAAACAATTTCTACAGCAGGTTTGCCAGGTTGATACTGTGCAGAATTCAAATTGAACTACACAGATCAGTCTGGCTTATGACAGGTTAAGTAGTATTATGATAAAATGTAAACAAGTTTTATTGGAAGAAATGCTTTCTTTAAACTTATTTTTTTTTTTACTTATTCACATAGTGCCTGGCTAAGTTAAATAGACGTTATGTATGTTTTTCTGAAAATATCTTTAAAATATTCTTTTTATTTGACCCTTTACGACTAAAACATGGTTTAATGAGTAGGCTGAAACCTCAGGATTTAAGCGCCGATACATCTATAAAGCCGCTTTCCTAATGAAAACCCAGGTTTTTCATAACCCAGTTAATCCGCTAACAATCAGCTTTTGGCTCTTTTCCCATTTGACCGAAAAGCAGAGTCTGACCCCCTGCTGTCAAGCTGTGTGGCCACTGTCCTCCAGCACTGCCTGTCTGATGACGGCATCAGGCTGGATGAATGTTGATGTCAGTGTTGATGATGATAACAGTGCGACGGAAATCAAGGAAGTAAATAATGGAGATGAACATGGACAGGAGCCAGAGCATAGTCAGTGTTCCTTATTATTTAGCTCTTTTATCTGTCCAAATCCCTCTTAACATTACTGTGCCATGGTTATCCAATTTTGGCTTGTTAGATCAGAAGCGGCAGTTGCAGTGTGTAGACTTCTGTATGTTGCGTTCAATGGTGTCACGTAATTTATTGGTTCAACCTTGGTCTGGGATCCCCACAGCATGCTGATCAGAGCCGAGGCCACCTTTATGCGGGTCGCTTGCTGAGTCGTTTGACCTGGGTAGACACGCATCAGTGCCAGTAAAAGCTGATTAGTCCCGGGTTTAGAATTTTTTTTCCGCCAGTGTGAAAGGGGTATAAGCCTGCAGCCTATTTTCCAGAATTTACTTTAGGTTGAAAGTTCCTGCGCTTCTTGGCAGATATGAAGTGAAGCTCATCGGTGTTAAAGGCTTCGTTCACACTGCAGCCTGAAGTGACCGAAATCTGATTTTTTTTTGGCCCATATGCGACCTGTATCTGGTCTTTTCATGGCTGTCTGAACTACACAGATTCGATTTTTGTTTTTTCGCTTGGCTATGTGGTCCTTAATCTAATAGGAATCTGATCTTTTCAAATGCGACCTATTCTGAACGGCCAGGTCGCATTCATCTGACCTGAATGTCATTAATATCCGACAAAGGTCACTATTCTGGGTCTTCCTATGAAGAAGCGGCAAGAAAAACAACAACCATGGTAGACAATGATGCAGACAGCAGCATTTATGTTTAACCATCTTGAAAAGATTGAGTTTTTACGGTTTTACTTCCGTAAACACGAAGCAAGCTGGCCTGTGATGTCACTGCGTCCTCTACTGCGCATGTGGGGCAGTTGCATTGTATGACTGCAGTTCACACAGGAGATTACATACAAGTCGCATATATTAGGAAACGTGAACGTCAACGCGAAAAAATCGGATTTCACAGAAAAAATTGGAATTTCGCATCAAGGCCTGCAGTGTGATCGTAGCCAGATTGGTCCAGCCTGGCAAACAATCGAAGTGTTATATGCAAGATGGATTTTATGGATGCTTAGCAGCGACAAGCATCCAGCTAAACCCGGACACGAATGGCAACTACCGGTAATGTGAGCAAAGTAAAAAAAAAAAAAAAAAAAAAAAAAACTTGTCAAGTTTGAGGGGAAGCTATGAGAACAAGAAGAAGAGAGCTGCAGTTCTGTGTTTTTCCCACAGGTGGCAGTCATTAGAAAACACAATAACGCCTCTTTAAGGTCATGTACATGTATTCAGTGTCATATTAAAGGTTGCACACAACTAGGGCTGCAACAACGAATCGATAAAATCGATAAAAATCGACGTTTAAAAGCGTTGGCAACGAATTTAATCATCGATTAGTTGTGTCGCGCGATTAATGTGTCATCCGCCGCCGCCGTCATCCCGGGGAAGAAAAAAAAATATGGCGGAGCGAGTCAGCGCCGCAGTTGCAGTGTTGCCAACTCAGCGACTTTTCAGACCCCTCCAGCGACTATTTTTTTTAAAAGCGACTAGCAACAAATCTGGCGACTTTTTACGGTGTCACTGGCGGCTTTTGGAGACTCTTACGTGAAAGCATGTATCGTTCCTACTCTTGTCCTCCAGCGGCAGCTGCTGCCGTGGGGCGCCTCCCCCATCCCAACGCCTTTCTCCCTCTCCCACAGGAATCCCTCTCAGCGCTGCAGTCAGAGCCGCAGGATTTTAGTGAGGAGTTTACCCTCAGCGTCCAGACTGCAAATGAAGCGCGCATGCACCAGGATTGACGGCGCAAATTGATCACAATAATTAAAATAGTCTGCGCTTTGTAAAGTGAAAAAAGTCGTAACATGCAACTTTTGTAAAAACAAATGAGCATGGCACGGAAGCACCACTGTTATGACGCAGCACCTGAAAAGAAAACACGTTGGAGCCTTCAATGGCAGTGAAGAGAGCTGATCAGCAGGATGAGTAACCATGTTTGTTTCATTTTAAAGAGGGGAAACGTAACGTTAGTTTCTCAGGTAGCTCATCTGATGCTTTCCTTACCTTGTTAGTAGGTTACAGACAGTGATAAGGTTGGCTTCTTATTTTACTTTTAATTTCATTTGAATTAGCTTAAGCAGCGTTTATATTTTCTTTATAAATAAATTAACTTGCAAATTATGAGGGCAAGGCTTTTAAAGTTTAAATCTTCTGGCAAAGATAAAGTAAAGAAGATCCTGCAATTTATGGAAGTAAAGCAGAATAAAATCCAGCAAGATCAGTAATATGTCAATTAATTATCTGCCACATTCGCATGTAAATATCTGTCTTTGGAGGATGTGTTTTTTTAACACCCCTAGTTCTCTCATTTTTATTCCAAATACAATTTATAATTTGAATCACGGGCTATTTTTATCTCTATGGTTCAGTATTTTCTCAAGCAGCAACTTTAACTGCTATACTTTCCTGTCTTAAAAGGCAGAACTCTTCTAGTCTAAAAAAAAACTCATTTGTTGAAATGGGGGGGCCTATTGTTTGAACCCCTTAGGGGCTTTTAAAAACAAAAATGTCTTTTTTTGCGCTTTATGAAACAAAGTACCCTATATTTTGTGGATGTACAGCTACATTTCTCAGGTAAGTTTGCGTAGTTTTAACACAAACATTTATTTTTCATATAGCACCAGTACAGTTAATGAGCAACCTGTACTTGTGTGCTTGTTTGTTCTGTCTAAAATGTTTATTTTGGAATAAAGAGGTTAATATAAAAAAAATATTTTGTGTCCGATTCATCGATTAATCGAAAAAATAATCGTCCGATTCATCGATTTTCAAAATAATCGTTAGTTGCAGCCCTACACACAACTACTGCTTTATAAAAATATTCTCTACAATTCAAAAGCACAGTAGGTCTAAAGTAACCAGACCATTTGGTCACCTAATTCACCAGTTTGAAAAGGGGCAAGATTTAATTTCCAAAGATTATTGCTTTGATTTTATTTTATGATTAACTTAAAGGTGCTGATTAAATCATCCTGCTTGCTAATGCTTTTTTTTTTTTTGGACAAATTTCAAGTTTTAATTTTCTATTTCACAAAAAATGGAAAAAGAAAACCTTTTTATTTCAAGGCTTGACCTTTATGTCATGCCTGAGATGATTCACACTAAATTGTCCAGCTTCAATGACTAAATGTCTGATTAGTGCATGACTCATTTTTAACTTAACATTATGAGATTAAAGGTTAACAAGCTATTATGGGTTTAAATACATTTGTTCAAGTATTTCATAGTAGGTTGAAGTATTTTATTTTGTTACTAAATAAGAAAATTAAGCTTTAAATCATCAAAGGATTTTTTAATATTGGTCAAAGATGAGCCGAGCATTTAGAAAAGGCAAATGTCAAATTATTATTTTAACACTAAGGGAAAACATTTGATTAACTAGGCATTACAGTGTTTTCTAATGATACTGCCACCTGTGGCCAAAACACAGAACTGCAGTAATTGATATGTTTTGGGTTTTTTTTCCACTTTACACTGAGTTGCCATTGGTATCTGAGTTGAGCTGGATGCTGGTCGCTCCTGAGTATCCACAAAATCTATCTTGAATAAGTTAAGATCTCTCATTTTATGGATCTTAATCAATTTCTGAATAGATCAGAACAACAAATATTACTAATATTACTTACTCTAACAAATATTACTCGTGAAACAGGTACCACTTGGCAATACTTGAATCTAAATACTTGTGATAAGCAATACTTGATTCTAAAAAAAAAAAAAGGATTATTCAACTTATTCAGTTTCAATTCAGTTTATTTATATAGTGCCAGTTCACAACCCATCATTTCAATGCACTTTACAGAGACAGTTCAACCAGATCATAGAGTCAAATTGAATTGAAGTTTTCTGTCTAAGGAAAACCAGCTGATTGCATCGAATCATTGACTCAAAGGTAATCCCTCACACTAAGCACGCTTGTAGCGACAGTGGTTTCTTCCTTTTAACAGGAAGAAACCTCCAGTAGAACCAGGCTCAGTGTGAGCGGCCATCTGCCGACGCCGACTGGGGTTCAAGGAGACAGAAGCAGACATAGAAATAGAAGAACAGATCCAAAAGGCAACTTCCATCCAGCTCCACAGGCGGCCCCGTCCAGGAAACACAGCCAGACAGACAAGCTCTGAGTGAGCTTCCATGTCAGAGGATGAAAGAGAGCACATCCAGTTAGTCACAGTCAGAGAAACAGGACTACACAAAAAACAGGCAAAGCTCCAACATCTAAAATAAGGTGTTGATGGAAGCAGCACAGCTGATATTTCTCTCCATGATGGTGTCACAGTGAAAAAGGAACAGACCATGTGAAGCTATGAGAAAAACCAGAGCACATAATGTTAGAGATTGAACTAAAAAAATACTGCAGAATGACAAAATGAGATAGAATGAAACAGAATGATGGAAACAAGGGGTTGCAATGTCCTCCAGCAGTCTAAGCCTATAGCAGCATAACTATAGAGATAACCTGAGCCTCTCTAACTATCAAAAAGCAAAGTTTTAAGTCTAGCCTTAAAAGTATACAGGGTGTCTGCCTCACGGACTAAAACTGGTAGTTGGTTCCACAGGAGAGGAGCCTGGTGACTAAAAGATCTGCCTCCCATTCTATTTTTAGAAATTCTAGGAACCACTAGTAAACCTGCAGATTGAGAGCGAAGTGCTCCGTTAGGAACATAAGGAACAATCAGACCTCTGATGTAAGATGGAGCTTGGCCATTTAAGGCTTTATATGTGTGAAGGAGGATTTTAAATTCCGATCTGGATTTAACATGAAGCCAATGAAGAGAAGCTAGGATAGGAGAGATATGATCTATCTCTTTTTATTGTTATTAGAACTCTGGCTGTTTAGGACCTTGTATTGCAGCTGTGCTCCAGCCTTGACCGAAGTCTGCTTTCTGTGTGCCCACAGTGTCTGAGTGGCTCCGGTTGCTTCCTCTCCTTGGCATTCTGGCTCTGCTGGGCTACCTGACCATCCGTCCATTCCTGCCTAAGAAAAAGAAGCAGAGAGACAGCCTGATCAACTTGAAGATCCAGAAAGAGAACCCTAAAGTGGTCAACGAGATAGACATCGAGGACCTGAACAGTGCAAATGTGTGTTACTGTCGATGCTGGCGCTCCAAAACTGTAAGTGGACTTCTTATCTTTGAGCTTAAAATGGCAGTACAGCTGAGCCGTGATGACAAGTTAGTCAGTTATTATATTGCCATCTTCTCAGATAAGTTAGGGTTAGAGGGTTATGCAACTTGTTAATCTGCTAACATAAAGTTATTTCCTGCTTTTAGTTTCCTGTTTGTGACAAGTCACACTTAAAGCACAATGAACTAACCGGGGACAACGTGGGACCTCTCATCCTTAAAAAGAAGATACTATAATTTACATCTGACTAGTCTGTACTGTTTTTTTTTTTCTTATAGTTGTTTTTTTCTTGAATAAAGCAGTCCATTGTTTAAGTGTGAATTGGAAACTTGTAGTTTGGGTAGTTCTCTTTCTTTCTTCTCTCTTTTTGTGTTTTTTTTTTTTTTTGTTAAAGGCTTAGTTCTTCATGTTAAATAATTGTTTCCATATTATTTTCTAAGTGTTTTGTCTGTACGTTGGGTTTATATTTCATTTCACTGGGACCACTGTGAAGCGAAGCACCTGAGAGGTTATTGCAATGACTTTATGACAACTTTGAATGAGAATAGCTGGAGTTCGAGGGCTGGAGTTTCTTCTTTCCAGTTAAATAGTTATTTCGATGAAATACCCAGTTTCCTTGTCCAACCAGTTTGAACCATTTTGTCATGAATGCCTTATTTTATTGTCTCTAGAACATTTGCCAATCTGAGTGTCAAATATTTTCAACCGCATCACTTTCGAGATGCGAGATATTTTCAGATAGATAAATATGTATGTAATGAATGTATAAGTATGTGTGGGATGCTTGGTAATCTGTTCTTCTCATGAACATGATTTATTTTTTTTTTAGTTCTGTTGTGTTGAAACATTTCAAACCACTGCAACCTTTTTTTTTTAAAGGGGTCATAGAATGATTATATAGGGTATTTGGTGCTGGTCCTTAATGTCTCTGAATAGGATGTGTAACATTGGTTGGGCTGAAAATGGCATATTTGCTTTTCTATGAGCCCTAATGCAAGCCTGGTTTAAAGGCCAAGAATGAAACGACATGTTTTCTTCCTTTTATGCTATGCTCATGAATATTTAGATGAGCTGTGCGCTGATTGGTTGTTTTACAACGAGCCAAGTTGCTGAGCAAAGACGGATCATAGCAACAAGAACTCACTCACTGAAACATCAGCATTGTAGATATGATAGGGTGACCAGACATCCTCTTTTTCCCGGACATGTCTTACTTTTCATGTCTAAAAAAATGTCAGAGTGAAATTCAAAATCGTCCCGGATTTCGGTCGACTACAGTGCAGCAGAACCGAGCCATGAGCGACGGAGAGACCGAACCGACCCAGTGACGGTAGCCTGGACAACACAGGCAAGGCAGTCAGCCAAACGTTCCCAGGTTGTCGTGTCCTTACAGCTGGAACAGCCCCTCGTTTCAGTAAAAGAAGTTTAGCAAATCCTGCTTTGACCTGTTGAACATTTTGAAAGCTGTCTTCTGTGAAATGCTTAAAGCAAACGAACAACTGAGCATTAAACTTCTTTTGATAGAAAAACATAATCCATGCATGTCGAGTCTTCGGATCCTTGGGAAGATTGTGAAAATTTTCCCCTTTCTCCGTGCAGCCTGGAACTCTGCATTTACGCCTGTGGTTCTGGCTCATTTTCAATACAGAAACTGTCTGCTTTGTAATTCTTATAGGAGTAAACCCAACTGTAGGCTAAACAGCTAAACTGGTGTCTTACATCTACCTCTATTCATGTTCTTGGGCCGTGAACCAGTGGACTGGTCTGTATGTCAATTTGGGGTGTGAGAAAAGTACAGGCAAGAACCGAATAAGGCAACATCCCCCAAATTGACGTCAATCCGGTGCTTTGTTTGGATTCGCCCATTTTATGGTGGAAGTTCAGAATTGTGAGATTTGCAGAGAAATGAGGTGTCGATGGGGTTTGAACTTCTCTGTACGTCCATTTCACCCACTAAACTATCGTTCTTCATCTATGAAAATGTAAACTCAGTTTTGCATTCTATGACCCCTTTAACGAAAAGAACTGCTACATAGAGACTTTTCTTTTACCTACTTTTTTCTGCTTTTTGATTTGCTATATTTTCTGCATGCTGACATTTTGGCAGAATAACTTTATATTTTTAAGCAAAATATTTTCCGCACGTAGGTTTTTACGGAAGTCCTTTCATATATATATATATTTATATATATAATGTCACTTGTGATGTGTTATTCTCCAGAATTGTTCATAATGAATGATAAAAGTAAGGGCCCATGCATTATTTAACAGCTTATTTGCCATCATGTTTTAATAGTCTTCATGAAGCTTTCAGCTGAAAGTTTTAAAAGGATGCTCCTTTAACTCTGTCATGTCCTAGTCTGCTGCTTTGTTTCTGTATAAAAGGTCTCTGCTATAAAAATAAAAACAGAAGAATTTGTATGCTGCTGTGGGAGTGTAATAAAATGCAAATATGTGTTTTATAAGTTTGATGTTCCTCAGCTGCTCTCAAAGGATTTGTGCTCAATTTCAGTGACTATAGACGACCTGAAGGGATCAGCTTCTCGGTTTATGTGATTCTCGCTATTTTAATTGAAAATTTGAGCATGGAATATAATAATGAAAGCAAACATCATCAGGGTTACCATGTTAAAGACCTGTGTATAACTGAGAATACGGCCTTGATCTATTGCTAGTTTGCATCAATATTCTGGATCTTTATTCGGTGCATAGAAGAATAATATATGAGTTCACAACAATAGCTAACCAGACCAATAACTGTCTTTTAATTAGGTGAAGAAATTGTGAATTTATTAATTACCGTAGGTGAAGAAATGTCAGTCAGGTGGTATTAAGGTAAGTATAAAGATTGCATCTCTGACAAAAATTGGATTTCCTGAATTGCTCTGAAAAACATGTATTTTAAAGCAAGAATTAAAATGGAAGGCTTAAAAAGAGGTGCAGAAAATATGTTGCTGGGATAAAATGATCTGTACTGGTTTAAAATAGAAGCGCCTAACCAGAGAAATAAAGACATATTGCCATCCCAATGGAATAAAAGCCAAAACAGTAAAGACCCAGTCAATGACCAGCCTAAGGGGATGAAAGAATCCCTTTAACATTGAGTACCGTGACAATTAGAAAAAGTTAGTGTGAAATCAGTCTATTGGTAGTAGGCCCTCAAAAGGTTCCACCATTAAAAAAAGAGATGAAGAAGAGAATGTATTTTGCCAAAAAGCATGAGCTGGCATACAGAGAAATGGTAAAATATTGTGTGTACTGGCTAAACTTAGTTGCTCTTTTTGTGTCCAAGAGCTGCAGTTTAACAGAAAAGCTCCAAATACTGGAATGAGGCCAGTAGACTCTATAAACAGTGAAGCACAGCAGTTAACCCATCATGATATGGGAATATTTCTCATCTGATGGTATCTGGTCGATTTTTCACATGTAAAGGATTAAGGATCCGTATTCATCTGAAGAGATCTGACATGAAAGAGCACAATTCCTTGAAACAGAAGTGAAATTGGTCAGATTTTACTCATGAATAGTTTATCCGTTTTCAGAGCTTTTTTGGTTAATGATAAAAAGTACAAAAACAAAACGGTACCGAAGGAATCGATGTGAGTGGAATTCACAATACAGAGGTAAAATAAAAGATATGGTTTTATGAATGCATTTAATGCATTATTGGTGTTTAATTTAATAAGTAGCTGTTTATTTTACATATTTGTGTGAGGGGTATTTAATTTGTTTCCACACGGTAATCTCTGAAGACATCTGAAGGTACTGGTGTAAAATCCCACAGAAAACTCCTGATAAGAGCTCACTGTCTTGCAGATGCAAAATAAAAAATAACAGAGGGTCGATTAACAGCACATCTAGAATTATTAGAGCTGATGCTGAGGTCAGAAAATCACCTGTTCATGTCACATGTTAAGATGAGAAAGTGAAGCAATGACAGAAACTCAGCTGCCGTGATTTAATAGTTAAGTCATATATCTGATTGGTTTTTATATATTTCTGGTTATTGCCTCAAGTTCAATCTTTTTGCAAGTTGGTAAAATATAGATTTAACTGAATTGATGTTTTCTACAGGGCAGTAGAAAACCAAAACCCTCCCTTCCCAAAAATGATTAAAACAAAGATAAAGGTTTGTTTTTGCAAATGTGATTTTTAATTTTTTTGGTAAAAATCTTATGTGATATAAATCATAAATAGTCTCTTAATTTATAATATTTAGGATTATGACATAAACAGGTAAACAAAAACAATGCACTGAATATATATGTAGTAGAAAAAAAATCTAACATTCAATATTCATGTAAGATTTGCTCAGAACTTTGGTCGTAAAAATACACACACACATACGAAACAGGCTTCAAACATACAGTGCACATGATCTTTGATACTGTAGGATTTTAAGCAGCATTCTGTATGAATCTAAAGTGAATATCAAGGTCCTGAGTCCTTAGTCAGCTCCATAGTCAGAAACGTGGCATTAGAGACACCAGGGACCATAGTCAAATGTTTGCCGGGGGCCAGAACGGGCGACATCAAATCCTACCTGAAACTACTGGCTAAGGATAAGGTTAAATACAGTAAGATTGTTATTCACGCTGGTGGTAATGACGGCCGGTTACGCCGATCGGAGGTCACTAAAATTAGTGTTGCTTCGGTGTGTAAGTTTGCCAAAAAAATGTCGGACTCCGTAATTTTCTCTGGTCCCCTCCCTGATCTGACCAGTGATGACATGTTTAGCCGCATGTCGTCATTCAACCGCTGGTTGTCTAGGTGGTGTCCTGAAAACAACGTGGGCTACATTAATAATTGGCAATCCTTTTGGGGAAAGCCTGGTCTGATTCGGAGAGACGGCATCCATCCCACTTTGGATGGCGCAGCTCTTCTTTCTAGGAATCTGGCCACATTTATTAGTCCCCCAAAACCCTGACCACCCAGGGTGCAGACCAGGAAGCAGAGTTGTAGTTTAACACACATCTCTGCAGCTTCTCTACTGTTACCCACTCTTTACTCCATCCAGACAGTGTCTTGCCCACGACCAAAATCTAATAAATTAGCAAAGATTCCCAAAGGAGTAAATCATGATAATCTAATTAAAATCAAAATAACTCCAATTGGGGAAAAAGTTAAAACAATTAAATGCGGTCTGTTTAACATAAGATCACTTTCCTCTAAAATTCTACTAGTTAATGACTTGATTTGTGATAATCACATTGACTTGTTTTGCCTTACAGAAACCTGGCTGCAGCAAGAGGATTATGTGAGCATAAATGAGGCAACTCCTTCAAGCTATTTAAATTTTCACATACCCAGAAGTTCTGGGCGAGGAGGAGGAGTAGCAACAATCTTCCAGTCTGACTTACTGATTACTCCCAAAACAATTAATACCTACAACTCTTTTGAACATTTAACCCTTAATTTCCCTGATCCAAATTTCAAGGCAAGAAAACCTTCTTTTTGTAACTTTGTATCGTCCACCAGGTCCTTACTCTGAATTTTTAGATGAGTTTTCAGAGTTCCTTTCTGATTTGGTATTAAATACTGACAGGGTCATCATAGTGGGAGATTTTAACATCCATGCTGACATTGAAGGCGATAGCTTAAGAGCAGCCTTTAATGCTATCTTAGACACTATTGGCTTTGTTCAGAGTGTGAGTGGTCCCACGCATTCTCATCTTCATACTTTGGATCTTGTGCTGACATACAGGATAGAATGTGAAGAAATAATAGTATTTCCTCACAACCCTGTCCTCTCTGACCACTTTCTAATAACCTTCAGGATTACTTTAACAGAGTTCTCCTCCCCTAAAAGAAGGTTCAATTTTAGTCGATTTTTATCAGATAGTGCAGTTATAAATTTTAAAGAATCTGCTTCACTTTCTCTCTCCTCTGTGTCGCTGAGCAGTGCTGCAGAGTGCAAAAGCATAGCTTATTCCCCTTCACAGGTTGATGATTTTGTTGATGGGGTTGCTAGTTCTCTGCGTATTGCCTTAGACAACGCAGCTCCTTTGAAAATGAAAACCGTTAAAAATAGAAAGCTTGCTCCTTGGTTTAATGCAGAGCTGCATACTTTGAAGCAAAATGCTAGGAAACTGGAGAGAAAATATCGCTCCACAGGCCTGCGGGAGTCCTTCCCAGTCTGGAAAAATGGTTTACTGCTGTATAAGAGGACCCTTTGTAAAGCGAGAGCAGCATACTTCTCCTCATTAATAGAGGATAATAAGAATAATCCTAGATTTCTTTTTAATACAGTTGCCAAACTCACCCAGAGCCATAGCTCTGTTGAACCGTCCATTCCACCTGCTCTTAGCAGCAATGATTTTATGGGATTCTTTATAAATAAGATTGATCTTATTAAAAATAAGATCATAAGCACTCCTCTATCCGCGATTGTACCTGAGGTAGTCATGGAATCTGAACCGGGTTTAGACTGCTTTGATCCAGTTGAACTTTCTGAATTAGCAAAATTATTGTCTTCATCTAAGCCTTCAACTTGTATGTTAGATCCAGTTCCAACCAGGTTATTTAAGGAGGTATTCCCTTTGATCTCCTCCTCCATTTTAGATGTGATTAATCTATCTCTGTTACAGGGATATGTACCTAAAGCTTTTAAGGTTGCTGTAATTAAACCTCTTCTTAAGAAACCGTCTCTTGACCCAGATGACTTGGTCAATTATAGACCTATATCCAATCTTCCTTTCTTATCCAAAATTCTTGAGAAAGTAGTTGCCAAACAAGTTTGCGATCACTTACACCATAATGAACTTTTTGAAGAGTTTCAGTCTGGCTTTAGAGCTCATCATAGCACTGAAACAGCTCTGGTGAAAGTCACTAATGATATTCTGACAATGGACTTGTATCTGTGCTCGTCCTGTTGGATCTTAGTGCTGCATTTGATACAGTTGACCATAATATTCTTTTAGAAAGACTTGAATATTTTGTTGGAATTAAAGGAACAGCACTAGACTGGTTTAAATCTTATCTATCTGATCGAATTCAGTTTGTTCATGTTAATGATAGATCTTCAACACGCTCAAAGGTTACCTGTGGAGTACCACAGGGATCAGTGCTAGGACCAATTCTCTTTACTTTATACATGCTCCCAATTGGTAGAGTTATTAGACAGCATGGGATTAATTTCCACTGTTACGCTGATGATACCCAGCTATATCTGTCTATAAATCCAGATGAAGCTCACCCATTACATAGATTACAGGCATGTCTTGAAGACATAAAAACCTGGATGACTCTTAACTTTCTGCTTCTGAATGCAGATAAAACAGAAGTTATAGTCTTTGGACCAGAGTCTCTGAAAAAGAAACTGATTAGCCAGTCACTTCATTTGGATGGGATTAAACTGATTTCAGATAATAAAGTAAAAAATCTTGATGTTTTTGATCAGGACCTGTCATTTAAATCCCATATCAAAGAGGTTTCTAGAATTTCCTTCTTTCATCTAAGGAACATTGCAAAAATGAGAAATCTCCTGTCCAGGGGTGATGCTGAGAAACTAGTCCATGCATTTGTTACTTCAAGGCTGGACTACTGTAATTCTTTACTATCAGGAAGTCCACAAACTGTAGTTAAAAGCCTTCAGCTGATCCAAAATGCTGCAGCCAGAGTTCTGATGAAAATGAAAAAGAGAGATCATATCTCTCCTATCCTGGCTTCTCTTCATTGGCTTCCTGTTAAATCAAGAATAGAATTTAAAATCCTCCTTCTCACATATAAAGCCTTAAATGGCCAAGCTCCATCTTACATCAGAGGTCTGATTGTTCCTTATGTTCCTAACAGAGCACTTCGCTCTCAATCTGCAGGTTTACTAGTGGTTCCTAGAATTTCTAAAAGTAGAATGGGAGGCAGATCTTTTAGTTATCAGGCTCCTCTCCTGTGGAACCAACTACCAATTTTAGTCCGTGAGGCAGACACCCTGTCTACTTTTAAGGCTAGGCTTAAAACTTTCCTTTTTGATAAAGCTTATAGTTAGAGTGGCTCAGATTATCCTGAGCTATCTCTATAGTTATGCTGCTATAGGCTTAGACTTTTGGAGGACATAGGGACCCCCATTTCATCATTCTGCTTCATTCTCTCTCTGTTCTCCTAACTGCAGAATCTGTTAGTTCAATCTCTAACCTTCTGCTCTCTCTGCTTTTCCTAAGAGTAGCTTTGCCTCGTCTGTTCCTGTATGGCTGTGACGTCATCCTGGAAAGAAACATCAGCTGTGCTGCTTCCATCAACACCCTTGTTTATAGATGTTGGAGATCGGCCTGTTTTCCAGTGTGGTCCTGTTTCTCTGACTGTGACTGAGTGGATGTGCTCTCTTCATCCTCTGACATGGGAGCTGCCTTGGAGCTCGTCTGCCTGGCTGTGTGTTTCCTGGACGGGGCCGCCTTTTACAGCTGCTTTTTGTATCTCTGCTTCTGTCTCCTTGAACCCCAGTCGGCCTCGGCAGATGGCCGCTCACACTGAGCCTGGTTCTGCTGGAGGTTTCTTCCTGTTAAAAGGGAGTTTTTCCTCTCCACTGTCGCTACAAGCATGCTTAGTGTGAGGGATTGTATTTGAGTCAATGACTCGATGCAATCAACTGGTTTTCCTTAGATAGAAAACTTTGTATCGATTTGACTGTATGATCTGGTTGAACTGTAAAGTGCCTTGAGATGACATGTGTTGTGAATTTGGCGCTATATAAATAAACTGAATTGAATTGAATTAGTATTTGTAAACTAAATAATAATAAAAAAAAACAGCTATTAACAATCATACGAAAACATCAAAAATCATCAAAATTAATGCGATATAACTAAAAACATTGATTCTGGACTGCTAATCCAAACATTATTTCTATAACGATATATTTAATCCCATGTAGCTCCTAAAAGAACATAATACCAAACGCAAACTGAATTTGCAAAAAAAAAAAAAAGTATCACTGAATTTTTCAAATGTCATGAAAAAAAAACTTCTTTATAAAAATGTCCTTATGTTAAAAAAGTCGACCAAAATAAATGTTCATTGTAAGCAAGACACAGCAGTAGCTGTAGTGTAAAGTTCATACAGCATGACAGCGCACACACAGCTGGAGGCCTGGAAACCACCTGCTGCTATAAATACAGACTGGTCAGCAGCTGAGCCACTCAGTGGCTGAAGAACAGCTGAGACAACTGAGGTTTGAGTCTTGTTTATTAGATCAGGATGTCAGAGTGTACTCTCAAAGGTGACGGGAGTTTCAGTGTTCTCTTCAGCTCCTGCTGCAGTACCTGAGAGATGGAAAAAAAGGAGAAAAGATGGCTTAGGCCACATTTTTTTTATCATAAAGTAAATAAAATCAACAACAAAGATATAACTCAGCTTACATTTACAATGTGTTGATGCAACGAGGAGCGATACAGGGATCTAAGGCTATGCAAATTCTGCATGCGCAAACACAGCTTTTTTCAAAGGTGAAATATGAAAAGTAGGAGGCTACTATTTACCACTGGAAGGTCGCTATGCAAAACAGGGTTACACAGGGTTGCCGAGCCGAGTTGAGTTTTTCAATATCAGGGTATACCCACCTAAGAAAAATGTCGATAAATTGGGTTTGACTCGCTCACCACAGGCCGAGGTTTTTGGTTTCTGCAGGAGGCGAGGCCCACAGAGTCCGATAATCAGAGCACCTACAGGAGCTGTGAGGAGGATGGACAGCACGGCAACAGTTAGCACATCCATGCCGTACTTCTGTAGCTCCTTGTCATTCCCATTCCTGGCAATGTCTAAAGCCTTGGAGCCTATTGCTGCCTGAGGAAGACACAAAGAAATGCTGTGATTCATGGCTGACAGCTCAAAATGTCACCAGGTCATAAATAAAATGGAACCATGTCAGTGCTTGTATTTTTAATGCGTTTATGCCATGAAGTCTGCAGAAGCACACAACAAGGAAGGCTTCCAATGAGAACCTACTGACATATTCCAGCACTGACTCACCTGAACTGTTGCTTTAGGCATCCATGCAAGAGCTATGAAGATTTTTTCCTTGACATTGAAACCCGCACCTAACACACACACATAGGTGAAGAGCACTCTAACCAGGAGAGCGATGAGCAGGGAGGCTATACCCAGACCTGTAAGGACATAAACAGATGAGTTATACAGGGACACCTCCTCTGGATAGCTTTCATTTTTTGTCATATTGCCACCACTAACTTCACTGGATTTCTTTGGGGTTTAAAACGTTAGATCAACATATAGTAGTGTATACTTGTGAGAGAAATTCTATATGGTTTTCCTTTTCTTTTTTATTTAAATAAAAAAAAAAGTGTTAACTTTTATTCAGCCACCTAAGTCAATACTTAGACCTGGCTTAAAAATCTAATTTTCCATTTTTCCCTACCCAATCTATTTATTTATCCCCCACACCCCAATTAAAGCTTCATAATAAAATCACAAATTACATATTTCCTTCAAAAAATTGGTTTTGTTTCAATCAGCCTTCTGGGAGGCGACCAGATAATATGAAGGGCAACAAACTTCAAGCTGTGAAATAATCATTTTCCACAACAAACAAAATATAACACGCTCAATGTTTATCAGTTATAAGAATACATCTAAATACAAAAACCTATTGCTGGTCACTCTGGGCTCTGAAAGCCAAATAAGTGGAATACTGAAAAAAAAAAAAAAAAGAATTATAGATTTTCCAAAGCTGTAATCATAAACATCATCAGTGACCCCTCACACCCCCACCATGGAGTGTTCTCCCTGCTGCCCTCTGGAAAGACACTTTGCAGCATCCGCTGCAGGTTCTGCTACAGCTGTATTTATGCCTCCAACACAACACGCTTTGAGGTGAGCTGTTCCATCATAGCTCTAGTTGTATTTTGATGAATCTCTGCACTGATCTCAGGCTCTATGCAGCTACATGGAAGTTTTGTTTTATGCGTCATCATATAAAAATTCCAACAAAACACATTGAGGTTTATAGTTTCAATTAGAAATAAATTACAAATAATGGGAGTATGATTGATTTATGCTTACATAACATATTTTACATTTATTTAAAAAAAAAAACAACAACAGGAGATCTAAAAAAAAAGATACCGGGTGTGAGGGACGGCAGTGTCGACCGCACATCCGTATTAATATTTTTCAGGACTTGAGAGAGTGCTGGCATCTCTCCTGGCTTGTTTGGTTAAGCAAATATATTTACATACATTCATACAGTCACATTTGAATTTTTCACTATGATGACACTGTTACTATGAAGGCTTTGTGTATCCGTCTCACCAACTGCATGCCCCTCCAGCTCAGAGACTCGAATCTCGGCTCCTATCAGTCCGAACAGCAGGGGCTGAAACACGTCCCACGCCCACCCAACCACTTCCTCCACACGGGCCTTTACGGTATAAAGAAGGAATAAAACAATTAAGTTTAGGATACAGCAAAAACAATCATTATTAAATAACAAGTAAAGAGCATGTTTGTTACACTATGGCTGTGTGTCCTTGCAAACTAAGAGCGGTAAATTGGCTTTGCAAATGACTATGGCGCGCTCATTCTCTTACCTTCTCTGCTCCCCAGCCAAGGCCAGCCAGGAATGCTAACACTAGGGTACAGAGACCCCCCGAGCCTGGAAAGCCCACCACTCCACTGCCAAACACAGCAAAGACGGACAAACCCAGAACCAGGAAGGAACGCTTCATCACTAGGTGCTTCTACAACAGAGAAAGTTAGAAATAAAAATAAAAAAGAGCAGTAGACTGAATTCTAGCAGCATTTATCTCATAAGAGATCAAATGTACTTTCTCCAAGATTAAATATTTACATGAAGCAGTTTATTATAAACTCCGAATCATCATGAAACGTGAACATTAGTGCTTCACTACTGTTAGATGTTACTACTATATATCTGTTAATGTGTGTTAAATGCTCTTGTCAAAAACAGTTTACTGAGCTGTTATTGGCTCTTCACATGATGTCTTACAAACTACTCTGCTAAGTGATGAGAGGATAATCAGAAAAAACTAAGGCATAGATTTTTAGGTGAGGTTCTACCATAGTTATAAACAGTTCACATTTGACCAGATTACGATAAATCTTATGGAGTCTCAGTTTGGTATAATACTGATCAGATGGAGCCCCATAATGCCAGGTACCTGCATAGATAACAAGTTGATAAAACTCTTAGTATACATTTCAAAATTTGCAACCTTTCATGTTTCCAAATGTCTCTGTTATCTAAGTTGAGGCAAAAATGAATGCATTATACTTAAACCTTGCATTTTATCTGAGACAAAGCCTGGATTTGCCTTAGTCCTACACAGTGTGTGGCTAGCACGGCTTACCATACACCAAACATAATAATCTAAAACCAGCCTTTATGTTACATTTTTTACTTTTATTATTTTTTTACAGAAACAGCCATACATCAATGGTACATAACACAAATGTTGACAATATAAAGTTTTCCATAAAATAAACATCTTAGCTCGATATCTTATGATCTCAGCCTCACATTTGTAGGGGACAGCATCCTAAAACCCTAAAATAAGGATACACTTTGGGCGGAATAGCTAAACACCATATGCCAAGAGACAAACTTGTTGGGCTTATTTACATCAACATAGCTTCTGCTGGCCCCCAGCAGAAGCTGGTTTTTTGAAGTCTTAATGAGTAGCTCATCTTTTCCATTTTATACAATTCCCTTACTTTTTGAACCCATTCAGGGGTTGACGTTAAGGATTTTTACATTTCACATTTCATTTGCCCAGAAACAATTTTTACTTGCCCGGTATAATGTTTGATAAATATAGTTCCTAATATTCATTTTTGTATATATATCAATGAAACATTTTTGTTTTTTAAATGCTTTTCAGTAATATTTACAGGTTCCTCGTGTGTATATGCATGTGTCAGATAATGAACTCAAGCCTACATTACCGTGTTACCATGCTTTTCAATCCTTCCTGCACATTCTTTTCAAACTAAACTTTGCTTTAAACTGTTGTGTGCTTGGAAAAATATAAATTGTAATATTAAAAATCTAAAAAAAACTTGACAGTTTAAAAACTTACACTACTACTTCTCACCAATTTAACATGTTTAGCTCTATAACATTGCATTTACTGCACCTCTCCAATATCTAAGAGAACAAAATTTTATGAAAATTTTTTAATGTATGACCACTGTACAGAAGACTGCCATATGATAGAAATATTTACACTGTGCGCATACAATTATTATTATTATTTTCCTAATCCCTGACTGATCATTTTTAATCTAACGTGTATTATAGTATAGATCATCCAGCTGCTGCTCTGCAGAATTCTCTCCCCAAGAGCTGAATCATGCAATCTAGCAGAAAATCAGGCGCTTTTTCAAATCATGCGAGAATATGTAAAAAACAACAAAGATGGTGCCGGCAACTCTTGTGGGTCGTTTTCAGGGAATGTCGGTGATTTTAAAGTAATTTTGAGTGATAAATCATTTTTTTTGCGATCATTGCACTTGCCCGGCGGGCAAATGCGATGAATTTGTACTCTCCCGACAAAAAAAACTACTTGCCCCGGGCGATCGGGTAATGGTTAACAGCGAGCCCTGCCATTAGTCATAGGAAGGAGGCTCCAATTGCATCCACCTGATTGTAATGCATTTCAGGGCTGCTGTAAAAATATGTTACATTTTTTAAAGAATTTGATGTTGCCATATATTTTATCAAAAGTAGTTGGTATTTTAACTATGCTTAAGGTGTTAAATTCAACCTTTTAAGAGAGGCTCTTTAATAAATCCTGACGTATCGCTTTAATAAAGGCAAATCAACATCAGATTACATACCTGGTCAACACTTGGAAAGTACTGAATAAGGAAGCCAAGGAGGATCCCAGCAACCATCCCTCCTACAACCTCTAGGACACCTCGCAGCAGGTTATACCAAGCGGAATCTGGAAGGAAAAAGATGCTTATAAATTTTATATATATATACATAATGAATTGCTTAATAAAAAGTTAACCCTTAAATTATGTTGGGAAAAAATTATATTGATTATGTTGTGGGACATTTTGTCCAGTAACGTATAACTGTATGACTGTATCAGGACAGTCAGAAATCTTTTATTTTTGACTGGGTAAATATTTTGATAAGTGACACCCAATTTAATTTTGTATTCAAGCACTATTTTACAGATCAGCTTGGTTAAACATTTTTAAGTAATGTTATACATGTTCAGTGTCCTCCACATTATAGGCAGAATATCCTGAGCTATCTCTATAGTTATGCTGCTATAGGCTTAGACTTTTGGAGGACATAGGGACCCCCATTTCATCATTCTGCTTCATTCTCTCTCTGTTCTCCTATTCTGCAGAATCTGTTTGTTCAATCTCTAACCTTCTCCTCTCTCTGCTTTTCCTCAGAGTAGCTTTGCCTCGTCTGTTCCTGTTTGGCTGTGACGTCATCCAGGAAAGAAACATCAGCTGTGCTGCTTCCATCAACACCCTTGTTTGTAGATGTTGGAGATCGGCCTGTCTTCAGGTGTGGTCCTGTTTCTCTGGCCGTGGCTGGGTGGATGTGCCCTCTTCATCCTCTGGCATGGAAGCTGCCTTGGAGCTCGTCTGCCTGGCTGTGTGTTTCATGGACGGGGCCGCCTTTTACAGCTGCTTTTTGTATCTCTGCTTCTGTCTCCTTGAACCCCAGTCGGCCCCGGCAGATGGCCGCTCACACTGAGCCTGGTTCTGCTGAAGGTTTCTTCCTGTTAAAAGGGAGTTTTTCCTCTCCACTGTCGCTACAAGCATGCTTAGTGTGAGGGATTGTATTTGAGTCAAGGAGTCAATGCAATCAACTGGTATTCCTTAGATAGAAAACTTTGTATCAATTTGACTGTATGATCTGGTTGAACTGTAAAGTGCCTTGAGATGACATGTGTTGTGAATTTGGCGCTATATAAATAAACTGAATTGAATTGAATAACTGCTTCTTGCATTTCACACATGAGGTGCTTGTTTTGCTATACTCTTGAGGAGGACATACCTGGCATCTTTTTAGTTTTTTTTTTTGCAGCTGCATTCACAGGATACACTGCAGATAAGTTGGATAGCACAAACTAGACTCTTTCAGCTGCAGCTGTACAGGATCTACTGGCCTAGTTCGGCTCTGCTTTTCCCAGTTCATCCTGGAATATCCGGCATTGATACAATATGCCAGTATTACTTTACTGATTAATTTCAGTCCACAGGATGTAAGTGTTGCAAGCAGACATAAACAATGTTTTAAAAAAATTACCACTGGCAGCTTTATGTTGCTGTGACTTTGTCCAGGTTGTCAACCCCCCGTTTGGTGGAGTTGCAGTCCATAATATTCTAGCTTCTTGTCTTTTCATTGTGTTCATTACAAGATCTTTGTTGTTTCTCTTTGAGCAGTAAGAAACAACTGTTGCTTTCTCAGTAAAAACAAATATTGAGGAAAGCAGAGGTCTTTTCTTCATCTTCAGAATTTCACAGGGAATTTCTGGCTTATTTCTTCTGAGTGTTCCCAACATGGTCAGCTTTCTCTTCTGACGTTAATCCCCAAGGCAATAGCACGTAAAGAAGTTGTTGCATGTGATGTTATGACCTTGCAGCCCTTCACTCATCTCCAGCACCACACGCATCCCCTGATTCTCATCAGATGAGGTAGCTTTCCAGTGTCAACCTTTATGTTCCAAGCATAGCTAGATTTTGTATCACAGGCTGCACTATTTTGATGCCTTACAGGGATGGGTCAAATGCAGAGAGTGACTATCTCCATTGTGGGAATAAAGGCATTTGCATTTACTTGGCTGGCTTGTTGGGCATATATTTCCAGAATGCACAGTGGCCCCTGAATGGACACTTATTTACAGTGACTTGGGGACCAGGGTTGTACAACAAAGATAGTATTTCAACCCATTTATGCCATACATCTCTGATTGCTGCTGGTTAGTCTTTTTCACTTCGACCATCTGTGGTATCACGGTTGTCAAATCGGATCACACAAAATATCATGTGAAATGCCTCTGGAGACATTGCTGCCCAAATGATTGGCCTTCCATTCTCTTCATCCCATAGACTAGCAGTCGTTTCGCCTTCAGATCTGTAAACTCAGCTAATACCAGAATTTTAACGTAAACATGCAAGTTGGTCTTATTCAGTGGCTTCCATTTCTCTTGAAATACACTTCTTCCTTCCAAGCAGGATTGATACCCTGATCGGAGAAAATAATAGTTCACTTAAGGTTTTTTTTTTTTTTTTGAAATATGCAGTTAACTCTGGGATGTATGAATTCGCTTTTAAAAACATACACTGAAAAGGTTCTAGTGAGAATAATTTGCACACTTACACCTCCTACTGTGCAGCCGATAAACTGCAAGCCAGCATTAATGTTTTTTAATGTTATTCTAATTGTTGACCAACCTGCTGCTTCTTCCCTGGAGAAAATGCAAGTTTTTAGTCACAAAAGTACAAGACTGAATTATATTACTCTGGAAACACAGGGAGTACCTGTGGCGAAGGCCATGCCCAGGCATGTGGTAAAGCCTGTAATGGCGAGAATGTCGTCAAAGCTTCCAGCAGCCATCAGCAGGGTGGGGATGCCCTGTTCCACGCCGTATCCTTCCTTCTGCAGCAGGAGCATGGAGGGCACCACCACAGCAGGAGACACTGCACCCAGAACAAAGCTGCAAAACAACATTGATTTACTTTACTGTTGCCAACATGTAACAAATAAAAAGTTTTCACTATTCTAGTCTGGACTGTCAGGATGCAAAGAAAAGATGCTAGCAGTGAATGAAGGCGACAGACCACCAAAATTGTTCTTTGACATTTTTCAGACATCAGATTTAAGGAAAAAGTCTGAAATCTACAGTAGGAGGAACCTTCACAGTCTTTGAGAATAACCAGAGTTGCAACATCAGAAAAGAGTATTGAAGTTAGTCTTAAGCAGGAGACTAGTTGGTGATTCTAAAGAATAGCACCTTTGAAAAATACTAATACTTTTAAAGTTTTAAACCCCAGAAATCATTGTACTTCACTGGCATTTTCTTTCAGAAAAAAGGCGACTAGTGTAAAAGTAACCAGGAGTTCAGGTAACTTGATCTACTTGGCTTCATGCAAAATCTACTTGGCTTCATGCAAAAACACAGTATGTGGCAGAAAGCTGACACTGCAAATCACTTGGAACTCATCATGAACATTGAAACATGGTTGGTGCACAATGATGCTGTGTGAAAGGTGCTCTGCAAAGGCATAGTTGATACAAAGATGGCTGCAGCTATTTACATGGCAGGGACTACTTTTGAGAGGCACTGTACTCCAGTTTTACAAGCAACATTTAGATGTAGATGTGAGATCATAAATGAACATGGAGAGTGTGAAGTGTTCCATTACCCAAGAATGAAGCCCCAGGCCCAAGGCAAGTGCATGAGGAAGTGAGAAATGAGAGCTGTAGTTGAGGCCTCGATCAAGCAGGGTCCCGCTGCTACGCGAACACAAACGGATTTGAGTTTCCTCAGAGCCTGGTAGTAGAAACATACATGTTAGATGACATTAGATGTGTGGATATTACAGTAGCAGCCATTCAAAATGGCCAATGGCCAGCCACTGGCGTGACCCCCTCCTTCTCCTGGGCACGTATATTTTTTTAATCTGACTCCACAATTTCACTGAATTACAGGGTCTGACCAGGAGAAGGCACTTCTCTTTAGATGATAATGTCCACAAATCATGACAGAAAGAATATTTCTGTAAAAAGACTGGTGTTTAAATAAGGAATCTTAAGGGACCAGCCAAGGGCCAATCAAGGAAAATGAGGAAATTTTGAATAGCTACTACTGTATAAGCGGTCATTCAGCTTTTCTACAGAAAGCATTAATAGGCTAATATGGCGAGAACAACATTGTTTAAGAAGATTCGACATTACTTGACAAAATATTAAGGATTTTCTAAAGTAAATTACAAACCAAACCAAAAACTGCACATTGTTATTTAAGAGAAAATAAAAAAACAACAACTAAATAACCTAATTAATCTGAGGAAATAACTTTTAGTCAGCAGTTGTTGAAGGACCCTTTGTTTCTGAGAGTTTGTGGGTGTAAGAAAACCAAGTTTTAGAATTATAGTGTTAAACCAATCCGAGTTCTTCTAACTAACTTCCCTATATACATAAGTCATACCTTGGGATCCAACCCCAGGCCGGCTCTGGCCAGGATGACAGCCAGAGCAATGTTTCTCAGGGAAGATGACCACCTGACGTTTATGTAAACCCCATCTGTTACAACTGGGATGTTCCTCAGCAGGAAGCCCATCAGCAGCATACCTGCAGCCAAGAGACAGTGAGAATAAGGAAAAAAGATATGTTTCAACAACAAAAACAGTTTTTCTTTTCGTTTTTTTTTTTTTTTTTTGCGGATTGTCTTTCACACGGAGCATGTGAAATGACTCAATGTTTATGTAGCTAGATGGAAAAAGTTAGATAAAAAGATTCAGATATTTATAAAGTACAATCTATATCAATGTATCTGGTTTAATGTAGGGTTACTGTCAGATAAAAACAATATGAATGCAATGATTTAATCTAAGCTAAATATATTGAATCTTTGGCAGGTTCCAGTTTCTAAGTTTAACAAATAAAGTGTCAGAAATGATCTAGAATGGTGTTGATAGCAAAATCAGGAATTGGCATCCATTTAGCAAAGAATCTATTCACCGTTCACTGACTATAGCACATCCACTGAAACATGTCTCCATACAACTAAAATCCTATTAATTCAAATTTATCTGAACACCAAAACTATCAATTTTAAGGCATCCATGTATAAGAAATATGAAAACAATAAGAATATGTTTGAAATGTCCCTTTTCATTCATATTTCCATCCATTTTCTCATCAATGGGTGTGAGTTGAGAACAATGAATTTTATTTAAGCAATTTAATACATAAAATATTTGATAATTATCTTGAAAGAACTGCCAAATGTGACGTAAATGTCTGGCCAATGGTCATAAATGAATTGAATGTTGACATCTGACTGCAAGGTCCCTCGTGTGACTTGCAGAATGCCAGTTGTCCGATTGATGGTAAATAGCTTAGCTCCACGGACCTGTTAAATAGTATTAACTCATTCTTTGCCAGCATGTAGCCTAGCTTACTTCAAATTAGCCAATAGAATTTGAAAGGTGAATAAAATCATTAGATTTTATAAAGGCTTATTTCATTTTCAGGCTAATTTGAATGTATTTGAATTTGTAAGCAGTTTTTTTTCAGATTTTGAAAAGTATTTCAGCTGTTTCAATTTAACTAATTGAATTTGAATTTAAAAAAATACTTGACTGAAAAGAATTCAGATATTCTTTTGCAATGTTTTGTTCCATATCTTAATAGATTCATTGCCAAATTATTTTCCAAAGTAAAATCAAAGAAGTGACCTACCATGACTATGAAGCTGATCCCAGTAGGCAATTTGTCCCTAACTATGTAGGGGCAGTGATAGCCATGCCAGTCCAGGGACTGACTGCAGTTCTACTGTAAGGTGCCTTGGTCAAGGTCAATGACTAGCATAAGTGACATGTAATAACCATACCATGCATATTGCTTTAGGATAATAGAATATATTAATTACGGTAGACTATGTATACTTCCAAAAAAATAAAAAATAATTCCACCATCCCCCTTCTTTTTTTTTTATACAACTCGACTACCACTGCTATGTATACAGCAATGTCGATATTTCATTGAATACTAAGGAGGCTAAACGTCCCCTGTAAATTTAGTAATAATTAATGCTAAAATATGCATTGTCAAACTTCATCAATGTAGTCAAAAAACTGCATTAAATACAAGCTAAAATGCGGCTGATCTTATGAGTATGCTTCTCATTAATCAGCTGTTTATTCTGCTCTTAGACACAGTCTCCCCTCCGCTCTGGAGCAGCAGGACGCTGCCTGTCAGTCTCTATGAGAAATCCCTGGTGAGGTTTGAGCCTCTGTCTATTGAGGTAAGCAGTGGAAAGTAGAGCCCTGATTGGATAACACGGCAAAATATGTCATTTTTAGAGAAGCTAAACCTCCTAGGGGTCTATGGAACAGGGGCAGGTCATGAAGCTGGCTGCTCGATGCTGATTGGCCAACATATTTAAGGATTTTTGATTGACAGTGGCTAAACAGCAAGATGTCTTCCTGATGAGTTAAAAAGGTAAAGTGATCATTCAGTCAACACTCATCTTGTGTTAAACTCTTGCTGTAGGTTCTGGAGTTTATTATTTCAGAGCTTTTCACAACAGCCATTTTCAACTGTTATAGTAATGTGTTTATGTGTTTCAACATTTCTTGATGTAATACATAAGGTCTGGATTTAATTAACACAATTGAGCCTCCCCTGTTTCAGAAAGCAGCAGTCGTCAAAGATATACAGTATGCACTACTGCTGACAGTGCAAACGGCTAATGAAATAAAAAAATAACTGTCTAAATGTAGCCTGTGTAATCATTTTAGCAGTTTTAGTATAAAAGAAGTATAAAAGTAAAAGAAATCCAGTATTCTTCTCTCACACACAATGTGATGTAACCTTTGCTCCCAACATGGACAGGAAATGTCCATGAGGCCTTGACATCCAGCTACAATTAAGGACTCACAAATGTAAAAAAAGATCATACAACTTGATCTAACAAATTAAACAAGTTTTTTTTAACCCCATAAAAAAATTGAACATTACTATTATTCTTTTCAAAAAGGATCTCATTGGACAAAAAAAAATCTTATTACATGATGTACATCTAGGTGTTGCGGGGCAAATTGAATCTTATTATTTTGGGTACAACCTGCTGTTTTTGTAAAAACTTTCTTTTTTTTTTTTAAGACTGGAATTTTATAGGTGATTGGATTTTAAATGTAATTTGGAAGAATATTTTTTTATGAATTATTATATGAACAAAAACCTCCCTATTAAAAATTGCTATTCCGGGGTTAAAGAAGAACCAGTTACTTATTTTTAGCTTTACTCTAAACAAAACTAATGTAATGTAATGAAATCAGTGCCTCAATGTAAACACGTCTGCCTTACCAAGAAGTGGTGGAAAAGGTGGAAGTTTAGGCAGACGGATGAGGGCAACTACTTTGCCACCAATAAGCGCACAGATGAAGAGTACGGTGATGCCAAACAGGTTCCCTCCTGGACGACATTCGTCCTCAGTGATGGACCAAACTACGCCAAAGAACACAGCTGCCAAAAGAACTGTAGAGGGAAGACAAGACAAACATCATGTTGCAACCAGTCAGCAAGACTTACATGTTTTTTTGTTTTTTTTATCAGAGGAAATAATAAAACACTCTGATAATTTAACCCAATTTAGAGCTTTTTAAATTTAGTTTCACATCTAAATATAACTACCCTGCACTGGTAATTCCAATTACATGTTTCTAGTTATTTGCACACGTGCAAAAAAATTAAAATAAATGACAAAACACCAAAGACTACCTCTTGGTTACCTTTGGTAATAATAGAAGCGGGGACCCCTCGTGGCGGACAAGGGCAAATTCTGCGGAGCAGCGGACAACAGACCACTGGCGGGTCCGTGTTAGTGCCAGCGTCCACCACAGGGTTGCGTGGAATAAAATAGGTGGTCTCCTCTGTTAGGTTAGGAGTCGAGCAGCGGCGCACCACCACCTGGACCTGGCCTATATTTAGATGCTTTAAATGAGGAATCAAAACATAGAGAAAACAATGTCAATACGATTCCAGCTAGACTCTAGACATACACTGACTTTGTCAAAATGTGGAATTTCGATGTTTAAAGAAGTCACCATTGCATAAAAATGGTTTATGATCCAGTATTTACATCAGAATGAATGTATTAGAACATGTTAATATGTTATTAAAAATAGGAGGTTCCCTAAAGAAGTCTCCCTCTGACAAAAAACATGGAGTCCAGTACTTTACCTCTACATGATTCGGGGTAGGAAGAGCAATTCGTTCCAGCAGAGGGCTGGGAACTGGACTGGGTGCTCTACTGGGAACTGGGCTGGATGCTGGACTGTGTGTGGGGCTTGGTTCTGCTTTTGCAGGTTTCTGAGGTGTTTCCTCCATTCTATTGTTTTCCGATTCTGTTGCTTCTTTATTACAGCAGGTTAAACTGTCTGTAGAGCCCAGCCATTTGAGTTTCCCTCACTTCTGAGCGTCCAGCCTCTCATCTCAAGCTCCTTTAAAAACAGTTCAGGTTTTATAAGCAGAAAAAAAATGAGAAAAGAGAAATTAGTAAAGAGGTGTAGAAAGAGACATATCAAAGGTTTAGTGTTAAGCCAGGTTTTATTATTAACATTAAAGTCATTAGAAGGCTTTCCTATGATATTCAACTTTAGCTACAGTTTTTTTTTTCTTACCAAGAGAACATTTAATGTTCAGCGTTTAAGCAATTTTTGTGACGAATCATGATTTATTCAAAATAAAAAATAATCTCTGCATCTCTGATTGAACATTTTAATTAAAACCCAAGAAAAAGCTTTTTTTTATGTGGTAACATAAAATGTGTTAGCGGATAAAAACTGGGATCCTATCTCAATACCAATGAATCTATCACTTTACTGTTTTTGAATAATTTGTAAATCAGAAAATGAAGCACATCCACAGGACCTATCAGTAACCATGTCTGTTGCAGCACATATCATCATTAGAATTTCTTTTAGTATTATGTCTTCAGTACAGGGGCCAGGATATGATCTACAGGGGCACTGGCCCCTGTTGGCCCTTGTCTAGAAGCGGCCATGGTGAGGAATGATGACACAGTTACGAGGGGTGGTTAAGCGTCTCCCTGAAATGAGTTTCTGGAACTTGGGATGTCTGCTGTCTGCTTTGCTATTGGTGTGGTGTTTAAACGGCTCACCATCATGTAGAAATCTGCCATGTGTTGGGGTATAAATACGGTTCGGTCAATCATATTATTATTATTAAGTGGGCATAACAGGAATTTTTCGCACCATTACGTCTGCAATGAGACCTCCTAGTCCACAATCGTGAAGTTGGTCCACCAGGTATCAGTGTTTGGGGTGTCCCCAAGAAGCAATTGCAGTCTGCGCTTAACGATATTTACCCCATTGAACCCTAATAAAAGCTGTGACTTTAACACCCGGCATAAATCAACCTTTAAGCAGCAACGGTTCTACTAGTACAAGCTGACTACTACTCTGTTTTCATAGCTGTTAAAGGCAACAGACGTTGGTTAATCCAATTGTGAATAAACCGCACTAATCAATGCTTACAGCTTGACCATATGGCACACCAAGCTAGCATTAGCAGTCAGCGGGTAAATAACAGACAGCAACCGGAAACAATATATATCATTAGCATGCTAGCCCATTAGGGACAGGTTTGGTGTGACGGTTATTAGTGCTCGTAGTGGTGTCAGAATAAAGGCTACTGTGTGGTTTTGAAGCGTTTAGATCTCGATCGGGTTGATATTAACGGCCATATATTGATCCCGTTATATCTGATGTGGTAGTTGAGTATAAAGTGGCTCACTTCATTTCCCATTTCAAGGCAACACAGCGTCACTAAAACGTCCTAAAACGTGCGTCCATGTGTAGAAAAACAAACAAAAACTCACATTGCAAATACCGATCCCATTAGCCATAGTTTCAGAAAGTAAAGCTAATCCATTAAGCTTTAAAAAGGTATCTCCTCTCTCCGTTAAATGTTTTTTAAAGTTATGGAGATTCCCCTCCGTTGTGTCTGTCTGGACCCTGTAAATAAGCATAGTGCAGAGGAGAAACAGCTCACCTCATATTGTAAATACAGCCATGGCTCGCAGACTGACAGCGTCTGTAGTAGAACAGTGAGACAAACAGCAGCTGGGTGCTGCGAATGAGGCGGATTAGAGATAGAAAGGCAGATACTGTATATATAGTGCAAACCCAGCTTGGAGGTGAGGGAGTGGGAGACAAAACCATTCCTTCTTCTACATTTACATTAATGTTTTATAAAAAAGCAAACAGAATGGCAGATTCTTATGCTGACATTTCTATTTATATGTAATACTGTTGTTTTTATATCAGCATTTTTTTAATATAACGTACTAAAAGGCTGCTTTAAGAAATCATTTTTATTCTAAGGAAAGAAATGTAGTTTTTTCCATTTCTGATGGACAACAAACCAATATTGTACATATTTGATGCAAAATACCATTGTGTGGATGAAAATTTATTTGGAAAAAATGAATAAAAATCCGAAATGTAGGCTGAGTGTTTGTGTTCAGCCCATTTTTACTTTGATATCCCCAAAAAAAGTCTAAAAGGACCACTATATCTGGGTTTTATAGTCTCTCTCTACAGCATCATGAAAACCAAGGAACGCAGCAGACATGTTAGGAATCAAAGTTGAGAAGATTGGTGTTATTTAAAATACAATATTACCTATGAAACTTTAAAATTAAATAGGATTTCACTACATCCCCCAAAGCGTGTAACAATAATAGCAGATATTATGATTGATTATCCAGACTTTATTTTGATCTTCTTGAATTTACTGTGCTATCATAATGAGAACTCCACAGGTTCTTCACAGTCTCCAACCTCCATCAATGATTTGCTCTGTTCCAGTGACATAGGCCGACTGTGAAGGACAAAGATACAATCCACAGGTGAATTATATTTCTACACACAGGAAACCTTAAAGTTTAACTGCCAAAGAATGGTGTTTTTTTTTTACAAGTAGAGAGACAACAGCCTCATTCTATAACTCAGTATGACTCTTTCGATAAGTCTCACCTCATCTGAGGCCAGGTACAAACAGAGATGCGCCACCTCTTCAGCAGTGCACATTCTGCCCGTTTTTTGTCGGGCCATAAAATCCTTGTAAGCCTATGGAGGGATTACAATTGTGGTATTAATTAACAGCCAGTCATCAGGGTATCGTCTTGCTAAACCCAAGTAAAAAAATGGTTTAACGAAGAAAAAATATAAGTCAGAGGTCTACAATACTTGTTCAGGGTCAGGCTGGGCCTGGATCCTAGCCCTCAAGGATGGAGTATCAACAGTTCCTGAGATATAACACAGCATATCAGACATTGTACTGAAAGGTTTCCTTATATGAAGTGTTATCTGTAGGATATTAACTATAAAGATAAGGTTGAGTCTGCAGCAGGAACAACACCAGAGATATGCATGAGATTGTGCTTACTAGCAAAGAGTGGGTAACACAGAACACATAAAAAGGGCATAAAGTATGATTTCACAGGAAATGCTCTGGATTTCTAAGAACACAGTTTCACTTGTCCTCAACTGAGATAGCATAACATAAAAAGAGTGATAACGATAACAAAAATTTATAAAGATATAAAAAATTTTATTTGGACTACTACTGACCAGGACAGACACAATTGCAGCGAATGCCTTGTTCAATGAAATCGGCAGCTATGGATTTGGTGAGGCCAATCACAGCAGCTTTGGAGGTACTGTAGACGCAGCGGTTCACCACACCTGTGACCAGACAGCAAACGTCATTTACACTGGGGTGCTCACATAGACAGAAAGAAACAGGCTTAGATAAGAAAAAGCAATTGTCAGATATCAGTGGCATAACATCGCTCTGATATTTTACGATGTGGATAGTTTTATTATATAGCTTATTTTACCTTTTATGCTTGAAGCAACAGAAGCCATGTTAATAATGTTTCCTGCTTTTTTTTCCAACATCTAAAGGGACAAACAAAAAATATCTATTAATAAACTATAACAGATAGGTGGCCTTTTTAAAGAAAACAAATGTGCTTCAATTCGAGAAAAAAAAATGCAGACAAGATGCCAGTTTATTTGGTTTGAGGCTAATACAGTGACTGGATTAGTTGCTGGATTAGTGCCTGGACAGTCAAAGTTCATCATGTCACAGGCTCACAGTAATACAATTAATCCTCACAAAGATTGAGAACATCTTTAAAAGCATATGTCAGCATTTTACCTCATTATTCGTTCAGCAAAGAAGTAAGCTGTGTTAAGAACATTTTAGTATGAAGAAGAGTCACCTTAGGCAAGAAAGCTTTGCACATGAGATACATGCTGCGCACATTGACATTCATGGTGAAGTCCCAGTCAGCTTCTTCACAGTCCAAGATGTTGCCATGGTGGACGAACCTGGAAAAAGGCCACCATAAATAACTCGCCATAGAAATGTTCCTTTTGTCTCACTAGTGAAGCTGTAACCATAACATCGAAATATAGTGCACCGACCTGATTAAAAGTCATATTTTCTCTAAGAGAATATAACTACTTTAAAGGTGACATCAGGTATTTGGAAAGAAGATTGACAAAAGGTCAAATGAAGGTTGTAGTGGAAGCTGTTGGAAGCATAGCTCAGGAGACATGTAGATAAGCTATCAGTGGAGATAAGGTAGATTTGGTCTCTACTCTTAAAATATGTCCACTAATCAACATCACAGGAAAGGTAATGTACCCTGCAACATTAAACAGCACATCAATGTGTTCATGTTCTTTGGCCAGGGCTTCCACTTGATCCTTTTTTGTCACATCCACCATTTTAGTCTTGATACCTGGTCAGAAATATAAAGAATTAGCAAGGAAAGTTGTTCAAATATACTTTTATATTAATTCATGTTAGTAGGCAGAGTTGGATGGTGCTGTTTCTAGGTCTTGCGGGTCAGACACCTCAGCCCTGGTGCCTACTAAATACAGTTGTGTAGATTTTATCCTCCACCCTGACTCTGCTACCCTGCTGATGTCGTTGGAGCTGGCCTACTTACTTTTCTGGGACCCTCTGTATATTCCTGCTTTCTTCTATCCTCATAGAACTTCCTTTTTAGATCATAGCTCTGCACCCCGTACTTTATTTTTGCGATATTGGTTTGTCTCACTGGCAGCCTTTTGTAGTTGAAGTCACCTTCTCTATTCTGGATAAACTTGCAAAGCCTTGAGGCATCTTGATGGTGCCAGCCGTAAAGGTCTGACCCTTATTCAGACACTCTTTATTCCTTTTGATGCAGGATTCCTCTTCATCCACCTCATCTAGGACTCATCAGTCATAGCGCTCAAGTTCTTTCTTATCTTTCCTTACAGGATCCCCGGTCACCTGTCCCTTCCACAGTCTTTTGGCTTCTTCATTGCTACTCAACTGATCAAACACACGCCAGTTTCACCTGAGTTAGTTTCCATTTCTTCACCTGATTTGCAAAGTGAAACTAAGGGCCGGATTTATCAAGAACTAATTTTGCGTGCAGTAATTTGCGCTCGCAAACTGGAATTTTGCGCAAGGGGCTGAACCATGGTTTGCAGGTGATTTAACAAGAGTGATTGCGTAACTGGTGGCAGGTGCAAAACTGTTGGAGACGCCCTATTTAAATGATGGTTTTGCCCGTTTTGTGGTTTGCGGCAAAGTAGTTTGTAGTTTGTACAAACTAGTGCATTTAGAAATTTAAATCTTACAGTGACCCCCAACAAAAAAAAAAAAAATATATATATATATATATATATATATACATATACACTATATTGCCAAAAGTATTTGCTCACCTGCCTTGACTCACATATGAGCTTAAGTGACATCCCGTTCCTAATCCATAGGGTTCAATATGACGTCGGTCCACCCTTTGCAGCTAGAACAGCTTCAACTCTTCTGGGAAGGCTGTCCACAAGGTTTAGGAGTGTGTTTATGGGAATTTTTGACCATTCTTCCAGAAGCGCATTTGTGAGGTCGCACACTGATGTTGGACGAGAAGGCCTGGCTCTCAGTCTCCGCTCTAATTCATCCCAAAGGTGTTCTATCGGGTTGAGGTCAGGACTCTGTGCAGGCCAGTCAAGTTCATCCACACCAGACTCTGTCATCCATGTCTTTATGGACCTTGCTTTGTGCACTGGTGCACAGTCATGTTGGAAGAGGAAGGGGCCAGCTCCAAACTGTTCCCACAAAGTTGGGAGCATGGAATTGTCCAAAATGTCTTGGTATGCTGAAGCATTCAGAGTTCCTTTCACTGGAACTAAGGGGCCAAGCCCAGCTCCTGAAAAACAACCCCACACCATAATCCCCCCTCCACCAAACTTTACACTTGGCACAATGCAGTCAGACAAGTACCGTTCTCCTGGCAACCGCCAAACCCAGACCCGTCCATCAGATTGCCAGATGGAGAAGCGCGATTCGTCACTCCAGAGAACGCGTCTCCACTGCTCTAGAGTCCAGTGGCGGCGTGCTTTACACCACCGCATCCGACGCTTTGCATTGCACTTGGTGATGTATGGCTTGGATGCAGCTGCTCGACCATGGAAACCCATTCCATGAAGCTCTCTGCGCACTGTTCTTGAGCTAATCTGAAGGCCACATGAAGTTTGGAGGTCTGTAGTGATTGACTCTGCAGAAAGTTGGCGACCTCTTCGCACTATGCGCGTCAGCATCCGCTGACCCCGCTCCGTCAGTTTACGTGGCCTACCACTTCGTGGCTGAGTTGCTGTCGTTCCCAAACACTTCCATTTTCTTATAATACAGCTGACAGTTGACTGTGGAATATTTAGGAGCGAGGAAATTTCACGACTGGATTTGTTGCACAGGTGGCATCCTATCACAGTTCCACGCTGGAATTCACTGAGCTCCTGAGAGCGACCCATTCTTTCACAAATGTTTGTAAAAACAGTCTGCATGCCTAGGTGCTTGAATTTATACACCTGTGGCCATGGAAGTGATTGGAACACCTGATTCCAATAATTTGGATGGGTGAGCAAATACTTTTGGCAATATAGTGTATATAGAGATATATATATATATAAAGAAAAAACTTTGGCAACCTTTATTCCCTAAGGTGGTATGTGGCTGAATTTCTACTTCACTGCAGTAAAAAAAAACAAAAAACTGGTGTTTTGTATTGGCCTGTAGAAAAATGCACATACCAAATGGCTCACAAGAAGTGACTGTGGATGAGATTACTGCGCGTACACATCCCCGCATCATTGGCATGTTGCTCCACAGGCACAGGAGGGAGGTCTGGTTTCTCCGTTAGGGCGTCAGGGCGACATGGCATTTAGAACGTCAGACATCACTTCTGAAAAACTAGATTGGGAGATCCAATGTTGCAAGGAGTTTTGTGATATCTGGTATTGCGTGGGTCCTCCTTGTGGCTGGCTCTAAATCCATTCGGAGTTCCCCCAACAGCTCCAAAATGTCAATGCTGGATTAACGAAATGTTTTGATGATCGTTTCCTCGTTCATTCCAAAAATATTCACACGGACTGAAAAAATGCGTTCTCTGCGTCTCCTTGCTTCATTTCGATGTCTCCTTCTTGCGACAATAACCGCTGCCATGTGTGCGCAATTACGCATACAGACCATTTGCACCTTCTTTTGAAACGTGTTAAATATAGAGTCAGATACCGTTAGCAAAATTGCTTTCAGGTTTAATAAATCACTTTGCGAGTGCTAAATTCATATATTTACATGTTCTCCTCCCACAAGACGCACTTTTGCGTGTAAACGCCCCATATTGCATTTTCATTGCAGAAAAAGTACTAAACGGATAAGAGGCGCTATTTAGCACGTTTTAAAGACCAAATCCTTTTAGCACGCTGTTGATAGATCAGTTTGTAAATTTTTTAGCGTGCGCAGTGAAATAGCTCACATTTTTAAACACGCAAACCTTTGATAGATCCGGCCCTATCTCCCTAATCATTTTAAACTCTTTCAGCACCCCGGCTTTCTGGTTTACTTTTGGGACTAAGACCACCAGGCTAGATGGTTATACCTCAGTGGTCCTCAGGGCTGGAGCTCTAGATAGCTCAGCCTCTTCTTCGTTTTTCAACGCATCTGCATTGAGCTCTAGGTTCTTCACATACAGGTACACTTATTCTTCTCAGCATCACATCATACACTATCCCTACATAAAATGCTATAATTTTGAGGGTAAGTTCTTTGCATGCTGTTCGTGTGGGACCTAGCAACCACCTAAGATGGCATTGAGTATGGTCTCTAGTTCATGCTACCAATGGCTGGCCCACACCTATGGAATCAACCCCTTACAATCTTTTGTTGGCTTAATTTTTGGAAACTTATTTTTGGAAAAACTGCATGCTAGCCTGTCTGTTACGTCAGTCTCCACACATTGAGACTGACAAGAACAGACACCTTCAACTGTTGCACTTTTTGAATAAGCAATGCTGGGTTGAAGTGTGCCACTAACTCGGATGGTTATTTGATCAGATACCTAAAATAAGCAACTACAACAAACCTTGTTAAAAACTACTCATTTAAAAAGGTAGTAAGACTACAAAGTCTTAAAAAATTAACTTTACAAAGAAATGGCTGGGGATTATGGTTTCAGTCTGTATTACTCTATTCTACTCCTTTCCCAGCAGATGGCAGCAACAAACCAACAGAAATATCTCACCTTTGAATGCCTCTAGTTCCTTGAGTTTCTCTCCATTTATATCTGTTGCTGTGACTAGAGCTCCTTCTTTTGCAAATGCCTGTATATAAAACATAAAATAAAAACAAAATCTCCAATCAGTTTTTAGCAGATCAAGGTTTGCACATCTCCTGGCCTTTTATTCATATTTCAGTAGATGTTTTCAGAGAATCTGTAGAATGCACCCAACCAAGTCAGTATATTTTTCATTTCGGATCATGTTTAGTTATATCAAGTTTGATCGTTGAACAGTAATTTTTTTGTATAGTGAGAGCTTATGAGAAAAGGCTGATATTTCTACCTTAAAAACGAGATCCACAATCAATTAATAAGAAGCAAAAATAACAATTTCTAACCAGATCTATCTTGAATAGTATATATTAAAAGTGTTACCAACCTGCATACTAAATGTTTGTATCTAGGGAAGCTGACTCTAATTAACCGAAACCACATAATATTGACAATAATACTCCATTTAAATACAAATAAACAACATTCTTAAACATAACACACATGAACACATCTTCAGACACCATTGGTTTGAGTATTCAAGCATTTTGTTACCACTTTGGGTAGTGTAAGATGTTTATGTTATCTAAGGAATTGATGTTAGAACACAGTCATTTATAGCCCAGTGACATTAAATGAGCTCAATTGAAACCAGTTTGTTTTCAGGAATTCAGTCTTTTAAAAAAAAAACTTCAGTGTTAGAACAGCTTTCCAAAACAAAGATAACACATTATCAGTTAATTCATTATTAAAGCACTTTACTATTGCAGCAGCACGTCCAATCCCCTGTGCGGCGGCAGACAATACAATCACCTTCCCATCAAGGCGGCCCATACTTTTCACTGTGGAAAAGAGAAGTCAAACAAAAGCGGAGTATTGATCAGAAATAAGCTCATTATGGTGATAACTGTTATTTCAAGCCACTGGATCACTAATTATCTATGTTGTCTGTGATGCATTAGATATTGTTTAAAGTTGTAGAGTTTTACTTTTAACTAGAAAAAGCTGTTTCGGAGAAACAGCAAGTGGGAATGCTTTTGCTGAATGAATAAAGCTGAAATTAACTGCAGAACATATGAAAATGTGATAGGAAGTCATCAGAAACTTCAAACTGCAGAAAACAATTGAATCATCTGAAGATTTTTGTAGGGTAGAATTATTTGGCACTAAAATGGCAGAAAGAAACTCATCTTAAAAGCTGCACAGCCAAACCATACATAATATCAAAAATGTCATTAATATGTGCACTAGAAGGGTCTTAATATAATGTCTATCAAGTTTCTAGAAAAATTTCTAAAGAAATTTTGAAGTGGGGCCACCTACTGCCCAGAAACATGTCAGGCATGTTATGAATTAGCAGCAAACAGAAAAGCTTAATTCCTGTCCAGAAAAAGAGCAAAATTAAGCCAAGGTTCACAGCATAGGCTGAACAATATAAAATTAGCTGAATCAGAAAAGAAATTACAAAGAAAAAATTGAATCTTATCTGGTTGAAGAAAATATGAGTAGCTCAAGGATGGGAAGTAAAATGTTGAGGAAGATGGTATTGAATAAGTATCAAAATTTTGAAATTGTGGAAATGTCAAGACTTGGCACAACAATTTGAAATGATTTAAAATTTGTTGGTTGATCAGCATAAAGAAAACAGTGTCATCCTTAGAGGATTGAAAATATACAAACCTATGTGCAAGACTGACCATGAGAAGCAGAGGAAGGACAGAGAGAGAAGCTTATAGAAAGAGAGTTAATACCACTTAAGGAGCTGAATTTATAAAAAAAAACTAACCTGCATGTTACGAGCCGCTGCAGTGATGAAAGCACCGTTGGCAGGCTTAGGCTGCATGTTATGAGGTTAGCAGATGCTGTATCTCAGTGTAAATCTTAGAACCTGGTTAAGAAATATGCTCTGAGGTCTGTGGTCAACAGGCCTTGGTAGTGTAATTTGAAGAAATTGGTTGAATTTGGGTCATAGCTACAAGCCACACGGCACAATGAA